AGATGTCTTATCTTGCATAATGTGAACAAGAAGAAATCCATAATCAACATGCTGCTGACTATGCAGATGGAGTGATACGTCAGAGAGGTCAATTTAGAAGAGATGCAATATCAAGAATTATTCATGGCTGTCGGGTCTAAGTAAGTATCTAGCATAATCCAAATTTACAAATTATGTAGATATACGTTGAAGAACAATGTTTAATTACTCATAACAAAATTAATAACACTTTCAAAATGGCAACTTAAGAGAAAGTTCTTAAAATTAATAAAAAATAACATTTATGAAACATGAAGTACTTTTGTCAGGTCTGTCCTAGAAATAGGCTCATGAAAATTGGATTTCCAGTTTCTGCACTTTCATTTAAAGTTGATAAATTTGGATCAGATTCATTCACATTTTTCTTGTGAAGTAGCAGTTCCTTAGCTAGCCGAAACACTTGTTCAAGTAAAACGAGACGTTGGAGCTCTGTTATTGATAAATCTCGTGCTTCATCACTTTCCACTAATCCTCGTTTTCCTTTTTTTTTAGAAGGCTCCTTACTGGGTATGGCTTTCATTGTGGTAGCTTTCAGTACTGGTCCAAAACTTCCAGATGCTTCTTCGGTGATTGTTTCTTCTTCAGCACAGGCTGTTGGAGTGTAATCAACGCATTTTTGTGGGCAACCTGCCACAACAGCACCTAAAATTTAAAATATATGCTATTTATATTTATTGACATGTATATATATTATACTCAATCACATCTTATACCTACTGTATGGAAAAACAAAAAAATACAACTAACATTGCAATCGAGCAATACTAGGATTTGGTTCTCCTGGTAGAAAATTGAACAGTTCTTGTTCCCATCCTTTCAATTTTATTGGTTTGTTTCCGGTTTGATATCTGTCTGTCTTCGCTTTTAATCTGGTTTTTATGTTTTGAATCTTCTTACAAATCTGCCCTTCATTATCTTTAACTCCTAATTCGGCTTCTACCTTTTCTTTTATCTCTTCAGCCGCCATAAGTCGTTTATTTTTGATTTCCGGGGTGTTAGATTTTTCCAACAAAACAGGATACTGTTTAATTATATTAACAAATACTGTTTGATTTTTAGATGAATGGTCTTCAGAATAGGTTGACATCATGTAAATGAACAAATAATAATCGACCTAAACACCGACACAAACTTTACCGGTATACAGTAGTATAGTAACTGCTCGCAATAGCGAAATTGCTAATTCGACGAGACAACAAAATACAAGTCGGAACTCGAAAACCAGAGTGCCTACTCAAGTATTTCATTAGCACTTGAGTAGCCTCTCCGTTTCTCGACAAATATTTTATGCATATCAAAACCGAGTAGGCCCTTCCTAACAGGAGTAATTACTCGCTACAATATGGAGTCGCTACTTCTGAGAACCCACTCGCCTTTATGCATATCACCCATTGTTTTGTTTCCGGTTTGATATCTGTCTGTCTTCGCTTTTAATCTGGTTTACCGGTATACAGTAGTATAGTAACTGCTCGCAATAGAGAAATTTCTAATTCGACGGGACAACAAAGTACAAGTCGGAACTCGAAAACCAGAGTGCCTACTCAAGTATTTCATTAGCACTTGAGTAGCCTCTCCGTTTCTCGACAAATATTTTATGCATATCAAAACCGAGTAGGCTCTCCCTAACAGGAGTAGTTACTCGCTACAATATGGAGTCGCTACTTCTGAGAACCCACTCGCCTTTATGCATATCACCCATAGTCTCGGGTCAGTTTCTGGCTGACTTCTACAAACTATTGAGAAATATAATCTCATGTGCTGTCAAATTATGGATAGGGGTCGGATTGGGTATCAACTTTTTATGATATCATATCATATAGAGACAAAATAATCTTTGACTTGGACTCAATGACCGCTTAGCCTATGAAACGCGCATCCGGACTCGAATGCTAGACTTATTTTGAAGTGACCTTCAAATGCTGTCGTAGTGACTAACTGACCAGTGATTGGGGCTCAGTTACCACAAGAACCTAAATGACATAAGGTTGGGGTCGAACACTCGAATGCTATTAGAATTTCCCTTAATATGACCTCCAAATCCTTTCATAGATACAAATTAACATGAGATTTGAAGTCACCGACTAGCAAAAACCTTGTTGTACTGAATATCTTATAATTCCCCACGGTACTTCATGGGTGTTTAGGCCTTAGATTTTCGTGGTAGTTGGAGTATAAAAAAATTGTATTTTTTGCCAGCTTTTCCATGTTCTGGACCACTCTGCGATGTGGTGATTCCACGGCGATGCCGAATGTATCTGCAAAATCGACGCCGCTGATGTCAAGGCACTATCCGCCTATTATATATTAAGAATGATCCGCAATCTCCCTCGGAATGGCCTGACTTTTTTAAAATAATCTATCAGCATCCGCATAAATTTGAAGATATTCCGGGATGGTTCCTGAGGTCTCATATAAAAATCTGAACGAGATTCTGACAAATGATGTTCAAATTCATGGTCGGCTCTACCAGATAGGCAAACTGAGCGACCGTCTAGTTTGCCAGGGCAAGGAGCAATAAGCCAAATATCTTTTTTGAGAAAAGAAGCATACTTGCAAAGTAGATTTTAATTTGGATTTCAAATTAAGAGCCACATTGGAAGGATGTTTTGGAAGGTACAATTTCCTTATGAAGGAAACGATGACACAATACAAGAATCAAAACAAAAATCCAGGCTAAACTCATTTTTTACAATCCTGGACACTGTCATCATCTCAGTTACAGAGCGATTCAGTCGAATGCAAAAAATTGTTCAAAATTTAGTTTGTTGTGCACTATTGATCAATTAGAAGAGAAAGCATTACATTTAGCTCTACATCACTGTGTAAGGTCTGATAAAGCGTTGACCAACAGTCACTCTAAGGATACGAACACTAGAGTTGTGTGATGAGTTTCAAACTATTTCTGGAAGAAGTCAGCCCCGAAAGACATTCTTGATTTTTTTTCCGAAAGTGACTCGAAAGACCATGTACCTAAATTTTATATGGCTTTGCGAATAACAGCAACCGTAGCTTCAGGGAAAAGAAGCTTTGCAACGCTGAAACATGTAGGTCATACATGGCTATAGATGGATTAACTAACCATTTCCATTGAACAAGAGCTAGCACAAAGAATCGTCTTTAATGGTTTGGCTAGAACATACCCAAAACAAAAAGTTCGAAAACAAAATGTAGTGTGTGAACCGCGTTGTAATCATCATCCTCTGAGTACGTTTTATTTCTTATTAATATCTAATGATAAAAGGCAAACTCATAATATGATATGTAGTGCTTTCATCGTGTTTTGAATTTCCTATACTTTTGTGGCAGAATCACTCGATGAATGAGGGGAAAAGCAGCAAGCACTTACTAATACACTCGCCCAGGACGCCAAGAACTATTCAGCCTGCCCTGTTCAAATTTTCTCTCTTTCTTGTTTGCAACCCGCAGCGGATACCTTAAAAGTAACTGCCACGGATCACCTGTCGCCTAAGACCTCAGAGTATAACCGCATCCTATGAGCACGTTATGACGAAATTTCTGAATGTTTAAAGTCTTTTTAACCCAGCGGATCAAAATAGGCCGGTAGATGCACAGACACCGGGCAATGAACAAACAAGGAGACCGTTATTCTAACTGAAACAGCGTATCAAGGAGAACCATCAATTGACAGTCAATCATGCATTCAGGTTATAAGCATTTTGGCCTTTTCCCACATAAAATGTACTACATTGTTTCATCAGACATTATTTGGCAAAGAGAACAACTTCCTGCAAGCCGAATGACGATGTAACTTAACGGAACTCAATAATGATATCGATTAATATTAGCTTTTAAAAAGCGAAATATTAGTAGTAAAGTGCATTCTTATTACTGCAAACTATGCACTAGCTCAGCTTGGACCATTTAGTAAAGCGCCGTAAGACATAAAAATACGAAAACCTCGGAACCCGGTTCCACAGAATGGATTTTCGTGAAACCACTCCGATTGCATTGTTAAAAGCTTGAGTAGAAGAGTTTACCCATCAAAATTACAATATATTGCATTTTTGAGTAAGGCATACAAATTTGCTATTGAGAAATTTTTGTCGTACTCCTTTTGGTGAAAAATTGGTATGATCGTTTGAGGTGGAATCCGTATAAAAAAGATCAGCTAGTTCTACTCCAAAAAACGCTGTGAAATTGTATAAGTCATTAGAAACTATTTGTAGTGTAGGATAGTTTTTAATAACGTTGTTTGAACAATATTACTATGTTGTCCTTATTAAGTCTCATCAGTCCTGTAGACATTAAAACATCGTGTATCATGATAATGAAACATTTAGGTCTTTTTTGTTAATTTTTCGATGCAGTTCCGACTCTAGAAATTTTGCCTACTGTCGATTCCCGTAGGTTCATCTGAATCACTCAAGTAATTAAAGCGAAATTAAAAATTAGAAGAAATTAATTCAAACACATTAAAGAAAGCCGTAATAATAAACAACTTCATATAATCTTTTTTGTAGAGTTTGATAAGGTCTATCAGATGGTATTATGAGACGCCAGGATAACCATATACATAAAAAACGATTTAAAAAAAAATAAAATGGTGGAGATCAAAAGTGACCAAAATTAATGGTTAAGCCTTTTTAACATACAATATAACACGTTACACTGAATATCACAAATATGCATCCGGCAGAATCGGGTACCGAGGTTTGAATTACTCCACTAATTGTAAAAGAATAGACTTCAAGTAAATGTAGGATTTTCAATGCCATTCATTTTTTACTTTGATGAGTAGTTCATAGACCTACTTTTAACTTGCTCTTTAGGAGTTCTTGCAGTCGAATGAAGAAATATATGCCACAATTTAAACAAACTTTAAGCTTGATAAAGTTTTCCAGATGTATCCTAAAAATGAACTATCACAGCGAGGTAATCTCCACCATGGAAATGGCCTTCTGATGACTTGTAAAAAACTGCAGTTTAGGTTGTATACTTACGTTAATGGAGCAGGTGTTGTTGGTTCCAATATATGAACTTCCACAGACCCCGTGGGCGGTACTGTAGGGTACTCCTCAGCTTCGTAAGCTCCTGGCCTAGGCCTTTCATCTGGAGGCTGTGGAGTTGTCAACGGAGGAAGAGTTTGAACTGCATGGACAAAAAAGAATCGTTTCTCATAACTATTAAGTCATGAAAATATGGCAGGTAATTTTTACTACTATAATTTACGCGATTTGCCGTACAAGTTTTACAATAAAACACTGGAGAAGTCATACGTGCTTCACTTTTATTTGAAAAGCATCGTCAGGATCTAGAATGCGATGCTCAAATGAAAGTGAAACTTGTCCAATGTTTTAATGTGGTAGCTTGTACCTACAATCTACTAGCTATGATTTAGGTATTTTGTTTGGACTATGCACAATGGGATCCAGTAGCGTATATTAGGGTGGCTGGCGGGTTAACCTTCCTAAACAGCACTGTGCATGTACATTTTGTGATGCGTCATACAATATATGGAAGGAAACGTACTTTACTTCAAAACTGGGAAAATAAGCCTTTCAACATTCTCATAGTGAGATCCATGTTTACCTTTTATCAAGTATTCTTCAATATTTTTCAATCAACATGCACCCCAAAAATTTTGAAAAATACCTACAAGGTTGAATTTTCAGCAGCAAGAGCGAAACATTACTTACTTTTTTCAGAAAAGCACGGTTATGCAATTTTCAAGCTCTTTAACGGGTAAACATCATTTATTATACTGTTTTTTAAAATTCATCATACCTCTAAAAATATGTATACTCAGTGACATATAAATCCGAACACCCAGTTTAAATGGTTTTATTTTAATAAAATTTTGTATAAGTACTTAATGAAGCATAATAAGTAAATGATAAAAATTTCAAAATGATTGCACTGCTTTAAAGCCCTTTGATCTTTAATAATGTGTGGATGCACCCTGATGTGCTACGCATTCTCCAACGCGCCTAGGCATGCTTCTGATCAGGTGGTCAATGTCCTCCTGTGGTATCTCATTCCAGGCAACCACCAACTCCTCTCGATGTGCTTCTAGAGTCTGAGGAGGACGTTGCAAATTGAGCAATCTCCTACCCATCATATCCCACACGTGCTCAATTGGGGATAAGTCGGGAGATCTTGGTGGCCATGGTAACAATGTGACATCATTATGTTGAAAGAAGTCCATTGTGACTCTTGCAACATGTGGTCGGGCATTATCTTGTTGGAAAGTTGGATCTACCAGGGTGTCAAGATAGGGTAAAAGATGGGGTTCTAGAACTTCGTGGATATAACGCTGCGCGTTCATGTTACCTCTGATGAAGATTATAGGTGACCTGGAACCATAAGCTATAGCACCCCAGACCATAACTTCAACAGTGTGATGAACATGTCTTTCAACAAAAACTGTGGATTCCTCCTTTCTCCACGTCGCCTTCTAACCCTGGCACGACCATCGTGCATGCCTAAACAAAATCGAGACTCGTCACTAAAGACAATACTGTTCCATTCCTGATCCCAGAGTGACCGTTGTCTGCACCACTCAAGGCGATTACGTCGGTGTTCTCGAGTTAAAGGGAGGACCCAGTGTGGCCGGTATGAAAACAAGCCAAAACTTCTCATTCGTCGGTAAACACTTCGCATGCCAATAGGCCTTCCGTGTTCTGCAAACCATTCATTTGCAATGGACCTGGTAGTGGAGAAACGGTCCTTTAAGGCCAATAATCTAAGGCGGCGATCTTTACGGTCTGTTGTTCTACGGCGGCGTCCAGTGCCCCTTGCTCTTTGCGTACGGCCTTCTCGAAGCCATGCCTGACAACACCTAACCACAGTGTCTACACTTCTTTGCACTCTAACTGCAATTGCCCGAAAAGACAGTCCAGCTTCCCGAAGTCCCACTATACGGCCCCTATCAAACACACTATGTTGACGAAATCGTACAGGTCTCCGTACTCTAGGCATCGTAACCGATCGTAAAGGATGTCAAGAACCAAAATCCGCCAATGTTGATTCTTTCCTGCGGCTGAAATATTCATTTTTAGAGCGTTAGTGAATTAAAAAAAAGCAGTATAAAAACCGGAATGTCCAACTGATAAGGCTGAAATTTTTTTCTCTTGTTATTTACAGTAAGATAAATACATTCACCAACTTTTATTAAAATAAAACCATTTAAACTGGGTGTTCGGATTTATATGTCACTTAGTATATAAAACTTTTACTACTTTCATATTTTACAACAGATACCTAATTGGCAGTTTTTTAGTGGGGGAAATGACATTCATTATAATATTGTCCGGAAACTCAAAAACATTGAAAAAAAACCTCCATGCTTTTCTGGCTAAAAAACGTTGAAAACAAATTAAAATGTTATGTTCATCATTTGCCTGATTAAATATTAATTGTTTTTACGTTATGACCATCTTTAATGTCGGACATTGCACCGACATAATTCTTTTTGCGTGAACTCTAGTTCTATATACGCCAGCGATGGGACCTATAGATTGGTAATCAAGGCGTTTTCTGCCGAGGGAAGTCACCTACATTACTCAATGTGATGTTATCAGTACATAAAGAGATTTACTTACCTTCATCAAAAGCACCTGGCCTAATCCTTTCATCTGGTGGCTGTGGGGTTGTGATCGATAAAACTGGGGCTACGCAGCAGAGAAGAGAAAGAAAAGATAAGGTAGAAAGTGGAGTGAAGAAGAAAAATTGATGAAATGTGTAACATACTCGTATATCTTCGATTAGTAAACCTATTATACAAAGGTCCACAATGAAAATATAAGATCGATCATTTGATGGAGGACTTACATCCTGATAGAATCGATACTGGCCTAATTTATCTGGTCATACCTCAATCTGATTGAAAGTTATGCTCTAGCAACGCTTTAACATAGAAGCTAATATAGCTAAAGTTGCGGTGATTTGGGCTGCTAATAATATCCCGAATCTATAGGAAACGCTACTTAGTGAATTGACTGCTATTTTGAAAATTAGAAAATATTCAAATTCTCAGGGGATTTAGGATAAGAAAAACTCCTATAATAAATTCCCCCAGTTTTTATTCTGTCGTTACAGATTTCTGAATTTCACAAGAAGAAGAAGAATATTTTTTTTATTGAAACGTGAATATTTTTAGAACTTATTTCAAGCGATTCTTGATCCTCCTTTTATTACTTCCAACATGGCTTTCAGACTGTTACTAATTTTTCCGAGGATTCGATAAAATGTTCTTCCGAGTACTGTACTAAAATATTTCCAAGGAAGGGAGTAGAAAATGGAAAGAAGAATAGCAGAAATCGGGAGAAAGATCGGGATGCGTGCATACCTGATGCACAGATACAATGAAACTGTTACTCATATATCAAACGTTGTTGTTTAGAAAGCCATTCATCACAAAATGCAGTTATTGAAGTATGTATCTTATTGAGGTATGAAAGTATACCAAATGTTTTTATAACAATTCTACCGCATGCATCCGGACCTTCTACAAAAAACAAGTTGTACCCACGTTTTCCATTTTCATCGTAATATTCGTTGTCATATTCCACTCCTCCATAGTCATCGTAATTTTCAGCTTGTTGGCTTTGTACGGGCTTTGGAGCATCGGCTTGAACTGCATCTTTCTTTGATGGCTTAGATTTTTTAGATTTTGTGCCCCTTGATCTAGCCTCTGCGGTTGTTTGTAGGAAACATATCGCTATCATCGCCATCCAGACATGTTTAGGGTACCACATTGTGAACTCCTAATCAAATCCCTAGAAACAAGATATCACAGAAGTGAGACGGGCGATATTAATGTACAACATAAATGGTCACAAACATTACGTGACATTCGCGTTTCTGTTTCACTCTCAGAATTGTTAAAAATGGTGTGAGATTTGAAGTTGCAGTAACATTTTCATTCAGTAACGGGGAGCTCTCAACGTTTGTCTCGCTGATGCAAATGTATCGCTCGATGTTATTCAATTACTTCAGTATTCCGTATATGACCTACTTGTTTTTTTGGAAATATAGTTTGTTGGATCAAAAACAATCACTTTTCAAAAACTGAAACATCTTTTTTCATAAGAAACGAAGGTGTCCAAAAACAAGTGATTGAACTGGAAAGACTTTGAATGTTTGTAGTTTTATAAATAAACTCGGGCCACTTTCCGTGTGGACAGTCATAATTATAGTTATAGAACATGTTAACTGAACAATAATTCAACGTGTTTCAGGAAAAAGATATGTAGGCAAATTTTACAATGAATTTATGTTACTGGGGTTTTTTCAAATGATATTAACTACCAGCAATTTGCAAAAATTGCTGAGCAATACATTTTGAATCTCCTTGTATTTTATAACCTTAAAATATAAAATCACTATCTTCCAAAAAGCAGTACAGACAGACTGTCAAACTTGGTCGGCTTTGTACTTTGAATTGCTCCTAACTCAACAAGCACGCTAATAAAATTTAGAACATTCCATTTAAAAAATGTCAGAAATATCATTTTTTTAAACAAGATATCATATAGTCTGTTATGCACTCAGGTAAATCCATACAAAGAAGAAGATTCAATACACAAATACGCATAACTTTGACAGCTCACCAGTCTGCCATATAGGATAGTAAATTTATAGGCTAGGATTATAAAGTACTGATAAGGGGCTTCAAAATAAGTTATTACGTGACCTGGCTTCTATTTAAAAAGTGTTGAATGATGGCGCCTAGCAGCTAGCTTGCAATTTTCAACTATCACTTTTACGTTAAAATAAAGGCTTTATCAGTGAATTTCAGCCAGCTAACTTGACAGAGTTCAAAAACTGAGTGAAGGGGAGACGTTTTTGGAAAACACTGGCTCACTTTAGTTATTTTCGTTCCCTACAATTATGTGGACTACAAAGCCAATATTTCCTAGTTTTTCGAACAAACGCATAAACAATTTTTCCAACTTTGACGCTTAATTGAAGAGTTTGTTTATATCTGTATGAGTGCCCTGAATAATATAAATTCGATGTAAATTCTATAGGTCTTTTCACGGTTTTTGGCAGGTCACAGTAGAGCTATAAGAATTACGTTCATATATCCATCTCCTTCACACATACATATGCCATATTTATGCTCGGTCATTTGTTTGTGTTAACTCAAACGAATACGTTTTTAAGTTTTGTCTCAACACCATGAAAATTTCCTCGCGAACTTATGAATCTTAGACATTTATGCTTGTCACCGTTAGTATGACAGCTTGCTTGTATGGGCGTATAACTTGTATTTACTCCTGTGGATCTTCTATATAAAACATAGTAGTGCCTAAAGATACAACTACAAAGTGGAAAATCTGTATTGGAAAGATTTTCAGAAAATGAGCGAAAATAACAGTCCTCTACCACATATTTCATTACGGATCGGCTTGCGCAATGAGCGATTCCTCTCAGAAAAGTTAACTTACACACATGGTACCATCAGTCAAGCTATTTACTTATTTCGTATGGCACTGGGACCGTTCAGCCAATCTAACGCAGTGCAGCGGTGCAGCGCTTTATTCTGAATAAGAGTAGTCTTAGAATAAATTTAACAGTTTGCAACGTCAGACAACGTACTAACAGCCAAGTGAAAACTGCTGTCAAACTGTCAAAGCTATATCATGACTATGGTTATTCAGCATAAAAACGCTGCACCGCTGGACCGCTTTAAGTTGGCTGAACGATCGCATTGTGACATAATCGGTGAAAACCGCGAAAGACCTATATGCAACTTTTTTTCAATTTTAGACATTCTGGGCTAGCGTCTTTCACCAGGATGATTATCAAAAAAATCTAATTGGAATATTTTTCCAACACAACCTTCGTTTTTGCCTCGTCAGCACTACCAATTGGTTCAGTACAGAGCTCTGTATAACAAAATATTCAAAGAACCTTAATTGTTTAAATTATAAATGTCAGCCGCCTAATCAAACGGCAGACTATTTGAACAAGGAAGAATACCGAAACATTTAGTGTCTTCATTTGTATATAGGCCACTTCACTTAAACACTTGCATGATTTGTAGAATTTATTGCCTATGTCACCAGGGCAAGAATATATGTATTAAAATTAATGGCTTAGATTCTAATTATTTTGTCCCAGTGCGAGCTACTGAATAAGCTGAACAAAGCGATTCGGAGTATTAAAAGACGATGCAAGAAAGCTTGAATCAAATGCATTTGCAAATACAAATGGGTAGCCACTGTGCTTTGTTATTTACTGGATATAAAAAATTAGTTAACAAAATTATTACCATTACCTCAAGGCCTCGACAATTAGAAATGCCCGATCGCTATTTCAAAATCAAACTTGTTAATTGGCTGAAGTTTTTAAGATCCTAAGTGAATGGGAAGAAAGCTCATCATGATATTTAAAAAATCATTAAGCTTCATGGTAATTGGTTTTTCGACGTAAATTCGAGTAAATTATTACACACGGTTAGTACCATGACAAGGTTGAAAGAGCTTTATAGTTTTTTCGTTTTTGAAAATCGGTCCAGTGGTGGCGGAGAAAGGGGCCAAAAGTCAAAAAATTGCTTAAATTTCGTTTTTTGACTTTTTAGAGGATCCTGATCAGTTTTGAACATTTTCTAAGGGTAAAAAATTGGATGGTGAGGATTTTAGGGCGGTGGAGGAGAGTATATATCCATATTTTGATGTTAGTATATCAATCCACTACCAACCCCGGTAATTCTACGCACCTATTAGACATATTTCACAAATCAAAAAAAATATTTTCAGCACCTATCAGTCACACATGCCGCACGCCACGGAGCTATAAATATTGCATCTTTGGTAGTCGATTGGAGTAAGTTATAAAAACGGCGCGGCAACATACGAGGTGGGGCGCGATATTATCTATATACGGGGTGTTAATAAAAGTATGTAGACAAACTTTAACCATCGAATCCTTGGTCAATTTGAAGACTAAATGTTCATATGGGTCGTAACGGCTTTCTTTTCGAGCTAGAGCACTATCACTACAGAAATACGAGTAATGTTCCAAATATTTCTATGAATAATGAAACGAATTTATTGAACAGTTGGTATAACATATGATAACTTTTGCATGCTTTACAAGTTGCTGAGGCTCAATATGATGGATGAAAATAGTATTATCCTGTATTTTTGGAAAAAAAAATATTCAGAAGGTCGTTAGTTTTGAACAGTAGCATTCGAATAGAACGACAACAATAGAAAGTATCGAATAGTTTTTTTACAATAAATCTAGATAAGCACAATGCTTAAATATTAAAAGTATTGCGATCAAAACAGATCAATGTCATGCTATTTTTCCAAAAAACACTGTAAATCATGTGATATTCACCACAGGGCATACTTAATTAAAATAAAATGCGTTTCATTCTTTTATTAAATTTTTAGAACAATATCATTATTTCTTTTAGTGCTAATATGCGCTAGCTTGAAAGCAAAGCCGTTGCGGGCTCATCTTCATATGGAAATTTCGTCTTCAGATTGACCAGAGATTCGATGGTTAAAGTTTGTCTACATACTTGAATATCAACCTGTGTATATATAGGTATATAGGTATATATTGGAGTGTAACTTAATGGGCTTACTTGATTTTGTGAGGTAATATTATATTATACAATATGTATAGTTGTGTGGTTTATAAGTACGTAATAGCTATAATAATCAGCTTTCAAACATTGCTGACAAGCAGTTTTACATCAGAGCTACAAAATAAATGAGGCCGAAATAGTGCTTTACCGGTTCTGACAAGCTAAGCCCTTCTCTTCGACTACTTGATGTCATTTTCTGGATGCAAGTTTATGCGTGTGTACCATTGATATTTTCAGGGTTGTCAAGAATTTTAAAACATTTCAATACTGTGTTTAGCCTTTCCTCTTCTAGAGACATATTAGAAAAGAGCTGGAATGCTTTGAAATTAACAAATGCTATTACATACTATTATTACAGCTGTGCATTTCCTTATGTTCATTTGGACATATTATTAGAGATCCCTAATGATTTTTTATTGTAACGCTTGAAACTTAACCTGTGGTTTTTATGATAATAGTACTCCATGATTTTCTCGCCTTATGAAACCGCATATGTATAAATTAACGTCCGTTAAAAGATTATTTATACATACGTACATTAGTCCAGAACGATATTATTTCGAAGTGTTACCCCTCGACTAACACGGAAAACAGTATATATATATATAATATATATATATATACTATATATATATATATATATATACATATATATATTTAAGACTTCAAATCTCCTTTTTTCAAAATTGTCACATTAAAGGAATGGGAGTACATAGCTTTTATTGGCGTATCATATTTTATTGATATCCTTGTCAACATATTTTTAAAAGCTCAAAAACGCTTTTGGAATAATTCGTATCATGCATAATTTGAATGCTGATCTTTCGAAGAATCCATCAGTCTGAACACTTGTTATGTGACTGTTTTTAACTTTTTCAAAAAAAGACAATAAGATGAAAGTTTAGGGCTCCATAGAGAAATTTTAGTCATGTCGAGGTTATTGGAAATTATTTTTTCAAATTTTAGTATGTTGGAGACCTTAACACTTGAAACAACAATTTTCATGAGTCTAACAGAGAGGTTCGTGAGGCAAATAGGCTTCGAGGTTGACAATAAAACTTGTGATAGATATTCATTGTTTATTCACTTTTTTGTCATCATCAATAGTATTTTAAAGAAATATACAGTTATAGGGTGGCCATTATATAACTGACAAACTTGTTTCTCTAATATATTCAGAATGGAATGAAGTAAATGTTATTTTTATGTTTTATGTATTGTGTAAGTTTGAAGTCAGGTACGAAAATTGATATTGCATAAATTCCCTCAGTAATCCGCACAACCTATGCCTCTCTCAACTGTCCATAAAAGAATAAAATAAAAAATTGGGAATGTTCTGCTTCATTATAAATATATTGGATAAACAAATCGATCTGTTAAAAAAATTAAATAGCTTGTCCTGGTATTTTTTTTAAGCGGCAATACAAAGCTTTTAATTTCTCCGAATACATTTTGATAGTCATATCCTCACAACCTCCCGACCCTATAGCGTTTAGCAAACGTAATTGTTTTGAGCAGATAAAGAGCTGACTAAGTATAAGGATTTTTTTTTCATTTTGTAAGAGCTCCAACGGTCTATAAGCTGACACACTCATCCTCATACCTCGGGAAACTCCATACACAGATGACACAAATCACTAAGCACCAGCGCGATGAAACGGTATCACTACCATGCAAATAGTTGGATGCGGGGTGTTTCGCATCGGGCCCCCCTGTTCCGTTCGGCCCGTTGCAGGGCGCGTACTGAATGCCGGCGGGCATATCCACTAACTATTTATCCCGTGGGATCATACGTGGGTGGTCCGACGACCACAAACCAGAACACAAGCTGTGTGAGCCTATGTTATGGGGATCGCATTTGAATTTCGCGCCTGGCGATAGATGTATTATTCTATTAGACAGGACCAGAAACGGTGTTTTCATTACAGAAAAAATGGCGTCGAGTGGGTTTATTATAAGTGGTATTATCAGTTCATAAGGGATATAAAAACAAACTAGACCCTCTGAGAAAAAAATGTCAGCCATACAGGTCCATACAATTGATATTAATAATAATAATAGGAATAGTAATAGTAATAATAATAATAATAATAACAGGAAAAGGGTTGATGGACATTGGAAAACAGCTAAGACAACAAGTTACTAACTTACGTTCCCACTTCATGGAAAAAGCTGAATACTCTGAGTCATGTCATATGTTCTGTAAACAATACAACACCGCGATATGGAATATCAATTATCACCACAAACTGGTGAGGAAAAAATGCAACGTTGGATGGAAAAGCCTTTACATGGAAGGCATGTCCACGAGGTGAGCCAAGAGACTGTTGACATAAGGGCTTCAAACAACTGGCTTATTTCTGGGCAAATGTTTCCAGAGAATGGAAGCTTTCTTGTGGCTATACAGGACCAGATAATCCCAATCAATAACTATATGAAGTACATCCTCAAAGTTCCTCAACACAACGATAGGTGCAGATTCGGATGCCCAGACTCTGAAACTATTCAGTACGTGACTGGAGGGTGCCAGGAGTTCGCCGCGACGGACTATAAAGAAAGACATGACATAGCTCCAACATCAAGTACAAGCTTACAAATTCAAGCTGATAGATCAAATCACACCCTATTATAAATACACACCGCAAAGCATTTTAGAAAACAACGAAAGTAAGCTATATTGGGACAGCACTGTCCTCACCGACCAGCACAGGAGACACAACAGACTAGATATAACTGTTGTCAATAAGAAACTGAGTAAAAGAACCCTCATTGACATAGCCATACCAAACAATATTAACTTACATACAAATCATAATGAAAAAATCGCGAGGTATAGGGAGTTCGAACTTCAAATCAAACAACAATGGATGGACAGTCTTGTGATACCATAACAATCATTCTATCATCAACCGGAGTAATCCCAAGAACGTTGCTGGAGAATATCAAGAAAATGGGACTCAATGATAATATTTACAAGATGATGCAGAAAGGAGTTTTATTGGCAACTGCTTGTACAGTTCGGAAGTTAATGGCAAATGCGAAAAGTAACGTCCTTACGTAACAAGCTGCGATAAAACTGATACCCTTTGATGTCGTATGCATCGGGGATGAGTGAATGTTACTCCAATGAGGATAAAAATGCCACGTGGCTAAAAAAATAATAACAATAATAATTATTATTATCGTCTACTACCATTATCTGCAAAAAGCGAGAAACAGCGTAAAGCTACTCTTACCTCTTACGTCTAACCTTATGTAGATGTAGTACATTGGAAGCTTTCAAAATTAAAGATAGTTTAAATAGACATATGAAATAAGCAAACCTATCTTTTTACAAGAAGCTTACTTATCCTACTTGTTACCCTGTCATGATACGCTAATGGCTTACATGTGTCTATCGTACAAATATTCTTTAAGCTCTACCCTAAATGTTCGTGCTAAAGGAAGTGAGTTGAAATTAGTGATTGATTGATCCGTAAAACTATGGAAATGTTGCATCTCCCCGATACTTAACCCTGTCAGACGTGGCAGCCTGGGCAGAGAATAGGGAACACTATGCTGTGGCGCGGCAAAAGTACGCGTAATACCAACAACAGAACACTCACCAAGGTCGGCAGACGCGATCCGTCTGCTAAGAATAATTAGTAAGTTAGTTTTTAAAGGCTAATGTTCGAAGATATCTATAATGTGTGAAATATGTCTAATAGGTGCATAGAACTACCAAGATTGGGAGCATATAAATGTACTAACATTAATAAATTGAAATAAACCTTCTTCAACCTCCTACAACGCCCACCCCAAGTTCTTTTACCTCTAATATTTTTTAAATGATTCTATGAAACGTCACTGGCATATTAGTTTGTTAGCATTGCATGAAAGTTATAGGCGGTTATAAGATTAACGGACAGACCAGCAGAAAGACAAACCGACGGAAATGAACGGCATGGGTTTCGTGATGTACATCTCATGTAACATCCGAAAAAACATACTATCTCAGTTGTCGTGGGAGGTAAAATAGCTTCCTACAAACAGACTTAGCTTGAATGACGATAAAACATATAGTATGTGAGGTCACTTAGGTTAAGAGAAATAAGAAAAAGGAAAGGATCATGCGGAGAAAGGTGTATAACAAATAGTATTTGTTACTTATCCATTATACAGGCGGCAGAGAGGACGGACGTTTTTGGGATGGGTAGTACTCTCCGCCTCCGTCTAAGAGAGAGGTGGGGAGGGTGCCGTTTGACTCGTGAGATCCTAGCATTATTTTAAAAGTTGTCGTTATGAAGCCTTGTACGGTGGAGCACCGCATTTTCGCCTATGAGTGACGAAGCCCACTTTCACCTAAACAGCATGGTTAACCAGCAGAATTGTCGTTATTGGGCTAATGAAAATCCGCAACAGTTACACGAAAGACCTCTGCACAGCCCAAAAGTAACGGTTTGGTGCGCTGTATCGCAAACTTGCATCATTGGCCCTTACTTCTTCGAAGACGGTAATGGTCGTGACGTTACCGTGAACTCAAAGAGCTACGTCGACATGATTACCAACTTATTTCTCCCTGAATTACGACGGTGACGTGTTCCAATCCGACGTGTGTGGTTCCAGCAGGATGGGGCGACCGCTCACACAGCCCGAACATCCATGGACGTTATTCGCCCTCTCTTCCCTGGTTGCCTTATTTCCAGGTTTGGCAATGTTCATTGCCCTCCTCGGTCCCAGATTTATCCATATGCGATTTTTTCTTATGGGGACACCTCAAGGCTAGAGTATACGCGAACAAGCCCCGAACTCTGGACGAATTGAAGGGCGAAATTCGCGTGGAAGTCGCCCAAGTTGAGAGAGCGATGTTGGAGAGAGTCTACGCGAACTTCCAAGAACGCCTCCAGCACTTCATCAACGATTTCGGCCACCACATGCCTGATATGATTTTCCTCACTTGACTGTCTCAAATGCTATTTCCTTGTGAAACTGATTCCATCAATAAATTTGTTTTCGAGTAAAAATTAACTATTTTATGATTTTTTTAAAACCGTCCATCCTCTCTGCCGCACCCTGTATTTTCTTCTAAGAGAAGTAAACCTAATTGGTGCTCCTATATAGATTATTCGGCTAATAAAGTAAACAGAAATATATTCCTCATTAAAAACTCAATCAATGTGTCCAACCGTGATATTTTGATTAAAGCATATAATGCGATAATTGCAATGGGAAATAATACGGATTATTTTCAAAAAAGGCTACCAAGAAGATATCAAGTACATCTTTAAATTGAAAAAAAACGTACATTTCCCAGTATGTATACCTTACATACATTGGCACTCGCATTTTCATCAATATAAGACCAGGCAACAATAAAACTTTAGAATAGATCATATGAGAATTAACGTCAATCGCTCCAGCAACAGTTACTTTGGCCCCAAATTATTAAGCAAATTAAGTTTCAAATGGCAGCTACAGAAATTTAAATCTACCTACATTCAAAATGAAATTTATTGTACTCATTCGGAACAAGGCTTATTTTTGAATGTTTTATATTGTATTCCAAATTATACTGTGTACTGTTTGTACTATTTCATTGTTTTGAAATGTCCTAGATGATAGAATTGTAAACAAAGTTTTGTGTATTAACGTATCTGCATAAATGAATTTGATTTGAAAGAAGCTTCTGAATAAACTAGTGTGGTCCCGAACTTAAGGACTACCATCACCCACGTAGTGGTCAGTGTATTTTTAATTCTTAATTAATCAATAGAAAACAACGTTATTTCCTTAAGAATAATTTACTAATTTCCGGGACTTTTGTGTCACGCTGTATAAGATCTAACCACGACATATTGGTCGTAACTTTGGAGCATGAAGATGTTTATGGAAAAAATATAACAAGAGCTTTATTTTTCAACGAAACTACCATGTCCATTTTGCCTCCTAATGAACACGCAATTGAAAATAGTTCCAAAATAAAGTCCAAATCCCACATTAGGATCGTGTAAAAGAGTATTTCAGATATGCTTTAGACTTTAAACACTTAACAACGTCAAATATACTGTTTTTATTTATGCTAACTAAAAAATGACCACCTTTAGAGACAACTTAGAAACTAACTTTTTTATTCAGAATGAGGGAAAGAATCTACAAATACTAATCAGAATGGAAATATGATGTTCTGGCATTGGTTAAATCATTTGTTTCAAAAAAAGGTCCTTCATGAAGGTTATTATGAAAAACCCTAATAGGAATATTTTTTCAAACCGTTCTGTCTACTTTGTCTCTATAGTTGTTAGTACGCTAAATATGGATAATCCCCATGTTTGTCTGGCTAATCAAACCACATGTATTCAAATTTCTTATTATAAACGTCCCAACGGTTACCTTCTTCAGTAGAAAATTACTACTTTTTACAATATATTTTATCTGTCTCCCAGGTGACATTTCGTTTGTTTTTTCTTTCCATTTTCACATTTCTATGCAGTGTCATTCCAAATTTTGAGATGAATCCACGCAAAACCAGCATAGGCCAGGACCGCCTGGTGTGGGTATTCCCGCTCCTAAAAGGAGGTCTATTCTTCGCGAAAAGACAAGCGAGCATGAGATTATCTGTCGTTGTTAATGGACCAGATACATCAGCCTCGTCCATCGTTCCGAAATCGTCAAAAACCCTCCAAAAGTCGCGAAAGCCCACCCAGAACTGTCGACAAAACACACCGCTCAGTTTTTAAGCAATCTTCAATCAACATGTCGCA